TGGATAGTTGGCAAGTGTGATAGGGTCAGGTTGACTTCTTTGGCTCGTCCTAAGATTTGCTGATTTTGTTATCTTTTCGTTTTATGTTTTAAATGTTCTATCTTGTCAAAATGTTCTATTCCTCAGTCAATTTATTACTTCTGTGGTTTCCTAATGCTAGGGTTTTGGAACTACTTCCACAATTTTGTGTTTGAGTTAACCTTTTGTTTCTCAAAGACTGCCTCAATTGAGTGGCTTCAAGACAAAGGTTAAAAAAAAAAAGAAATCGTGTAAGGACAATTTCAGAGTTATGAGTGAATCTGTTTTGTAAGCCTCATTTGTAAGATTGATTTGAATAGTGTGCCCTTCATCAGACAACTTCAGAACCAACTTTAGGGCTCCATGCAAGTTTGGATTGACAGCTGAAAGAAAGAAGACGTTCTTAAAGAACACAGGATTGGTTTCTTGGTTGACCAATGAATTTAAAAATATACCCCGGAAGTACAGATATCCATGACACAATTTTAAAGACAATTAGATTTTTTTTTCTAGTTATTAAATGTCTTAAAATAATCTTTAAACTTTAGGAAGTTCAGAGAGCACATTCTGAAAAACATTATATTTAGAACATTTACTACTCACTGTAAAGTTAATGTTTGGCTTGTGGACAGCAGATAATAGTGCCTTTATCCTGGATCTGTTAGGGAGTCTTCACTGCTAATGACTTGCTATATTATTAAAGAGAAGTTAGATCAGAATATATTCAGAATTGAAGAGAAGGGAAATGGGCAAGTAATTCTTGAATTTCCTCTAAACCTTTAGAGGAATATAATGCAGATAGGTTTTGTCCTTCTCTATAAAATGATTATTTACTAGAAAGAAATTAGTTAATTTGCAATTTTTTTGTAAATTGTTGTTCCATTACTGCATTATTGAGGGTAAAAGTGGATTTTTTTCTTGAAATGTGGCCTCAAAATATGATGTGTGGTGGCAGAGTTAGGGTGCTGACTCGCATTTATCATTTCCCTAAAACAAAAATCTTATTTTCAGTCAAAAAGGGGAATAAATGTGAAAATTAATTTGAAAGTAGGATTTTCCATAGAGCTGTAGTTTGTAGTCCAGTGGAGATACTGATATAAATAGGAACTTTGCTGTCCAGTTGGCATTCACATTGGAGAGTTTTTAATGTCATATGGATTGGTTGAGTAGTGACTGTATTTCAAAAATGCACTTCACTCTTGTCCGTGAGCAGTAGTGCTTGTTTCATGACATTGACATTCAGTAGATCAAAAGCTATTTACTGTTATGTCACATATTCCAAAGTCTTGCCAACACTAATGGAACTGACCTCTCAGAGAGCGAAAGATGTCTGTGGGCACAGACTGGCCTCAAGCACCTCAGATATTTTAGTTTAGCCACAGTCCATAAACTTTGTCTGTGCACTTATTACCTTACTTGTCCTAAACTGTTCCCTTCCATGTTAAGAAGAGTGAGGTGTGTTTTATAGTTTTGTGTTGTTGTAGCCAGAGTACACATTAGATCAAGAGCTTGAGCACAACTCCTGTGAGCTGCACTTGAAGGGGTATTATTTATTACATCAACAGTGACAAAATCAAAGCCTTAGAGTGATAATCGTTGTAAATTGCATCAACTGCAATGTGATGTGCGTTTCCTCTATTAGGAAGGAGTTTCATGTTCTCTAGTAGTTACTGTCAGAAGAAAAGCCACATTGTCAGTGATGCAGTACATCACAGGTCCTGCTAAAGTCAGTGAACACCTCGGTGCACAGATGGTACTAAATCAAGAATCAAAATTTCATTTTGGCAGGTCTCCCCTATTTTCTCTCAGGAAGCTCCAGAAGAAACAGGGGTGCTAAGCTGTATACTTAGCCAGAGCATGTGCTGTAATGTGTGATTAAAGCCTAAAGGTCATGGAGGTAAATCCAGAAAGTCAGATTTAATACACATGAACTCAGCAGTCAGTCCCTGAAAGCTGAGACATTTATCTGCCATCTTCAGACATCCTTTTCAGAGCTGCTGCTCCAAAGCCAGACAACCAGAAAAGCTGGCCACTTAGTCTCATTTCCATCTGGACAAAATTTCTAGATGAGGTAGAATGGAGAGGAACCAGAAACAAGCACATAATAACCATAAAGTTGAGCAAAAAGAAGGTGCCTTAATAAAATAAGGTGATAGCAGTTCAATCAGAGCAACTTTATAGAAGTGTGTTGTTTTTACCCCAGAAGCCAGGACACTTGCTGTCACTTCTGAAAACCAGAGCCAACCCATATGGATTCTGTTAAGACTCAGGTGTTGAAGTAGTAACACTAAAGGATGTTTTTATCACAGGAAAAGTGGAGTTGAATAAGGGACTAAGAGCTGTATACAATCTAATGCCACTGATGTGGACACCTGGGTATTTGAATAGAGCCTTGCAAGTGATGGAGAATGTGGCTTCATTGTCAGGAGACAGCAAAATCTGCAAAGAAGCTGTAAGTATGAAGGCAATAACCCACTGAACAAATGGAACTTTATGTAAGTCAAATCCAGTAAAACCTGTGAATTCTGTGCCTTGCTAATGAGAAGATGCCCAGCAAACTTCAGAGGCCTTTACAAGACATGAGAAGTAATGTTTAGAACAAAATCACTGCTTCAATTGATGAGCCAGTGATAATATCTGCTGGCATGTCCTGGGCAAAGAGTGTGTGTTATTGCCACAGACCATTTAAGTATGGATCTGTGCTGCAGGGATCATGTCCGTGGGTGTGGGAAGGCACCTTTGTTTCTCAGGTTTTTGAACTCGCTCAGAGACATAGTTCTTAGCTGTGAGGATGAAATACCACATATTCTTACTCTCACAGCTAATCCTATGTATCCTCTGCCCTCTGAGGTGATGTTCTGAGTGATACTGAACCAGAAAGTCAACAGTGATTTCTAGGTGGTGCTGCCCTCATTTGGGGAGGATGAATGGATTCAGTTCGTTTATGAAGTCAGCAGTGGCTAAGGGACTTGAGGCTTAGGAATGTTGTGGGGCATCCCACTGATCCTGGACTCAGATAAGGAGTAATTTAAGAAAACACCACAGCATGTGCTGAAGGATAAAAACATCACTGAGGTCTCACCTCCTCTATTGGGTACTTTTTCTGGAAGGTGTCCCTGGTCATGGAAGCCTCCCTTTTGCTCATGTAATTACTAGGCTTGCAGTCTCCCTTGACAAACAGAAGGCTAGGGTACTGCTCAGCAGGTTCTGTTATCTATTGCTGCATATTCTGAAGCATCTCTCTAATACATGACAGTACAAGGAGAGGTCACGTCTGCAACTTCCACCATTTTGAGTTAGCTCTTTTGGTGTATGGTTTTGGAGGTATCTTTCTTGCTCCAGTCTAAAGAAGTCAGCCGAATACACTAACACAGTAATTTTTTCTGCTTACAAACCCTGGACAAATAAGGGAACTCATGAAGTTGTTTGAATACATGACAGTTGTGTTACTTAGATTGTATTTCAAAACTGTTTATGCTTATCGTGACAAATGTGATTGTTCAGATTGATGCCCTGGAGACCATTTTGCAGTCTGTCCTTGAAGCCAAACCTGATCCAGCATCTGCTGAAGAAGTCAAGGGATTAGAGCAGAAATCACAGTGTGCAGAATCAGAAGAAACAGAGCAATCTAAAGCACTTGAGTACTACAGTCGATTCAAAGTAAGAGTTTAATTTACTTAAATATCCTAAGCTGTAATAGATCTCATGGTACATACTAGAAAATATATATGCTGACTTACTATGGCTAACAGACTGACATCCCTTCAATGTCAGTCTATCAGGAGTCCTACTTTGACGTTTTTGAAACTGATGTCACCTTACGTTTTCACTTCTTCACACAGGAAGCAGTGAAGATGTAAATGCTCAAGGCCACTTGTCTTTTGTCTGTATGGTGGGATTTTATCTTCACTTTTCATATATCAAAATGATAAATCCAGTCCTGTTCTCATAAGTGTTATGTCATTAGGGACCCATTATCTGACCTTGTGTGGGCTCTTGCTCATTAAAATTAGTTTAATAGGCATGAGACCGTCCTGAATTTGTTGTCCATTTATGTACGCTACAATTATGTACGAATGTTGCATCCTGTACTTTCAATCTGGGGAATAAAGTCAGGCCTTCACCTCTCTTTTATCTTTAGATTGTCATGCTGATGATAACAGTAAGAAGAACAGCTATTCATTACAGCAAATCTGTATAATAAGTGCATTTTATTTGATCATCTCATAGCTATACAATGAGCTCATTTTGGTTTATCATCTCTGATTTTTGCTGTGGTAAAAATCAAATACCCTGGGTTGAAACTCATCTGATTTATAATTCCCAGAGCAGTACTCATCTCATAGCCCATGGTTTCCCTTGCTGCTGTCACCTGGATGGCTGTGACTTTGCACAGTTGTTCTGGATGCAGACTGTTCTGAAGAAATTTCAGAAGTTAAAAGACAAGTATCCTGTGGTTTCAGCTCGCACAAACACACTTTTCCTTTCTTTAATTTTTATTTGCACAACTTAACCACTAATCTTTAGATATTAAACTTGCTTTGTAGGCAGTTAGAACTTTTTAATTAAAGTGTTTGGGAATCAGTGGGTGCTCAGCATGTGGTAATTATTGCCTCGATGAATTACAGTGAATTAGGTAAACACAAGTGCCCTTTGAAAGAGGGAATGAGACATTTTTATGTGTCTCTCATTGTCTATCCATTGTCTAGCCTTGCAGAAAATAATGCAGAGTGCTTGAAACAAGGCCTAAATATCAAATCAGGAACAGGCTAGTGTCAAGAGGGTAGTTTTCTTCTCACCTTAACCTTTCCACAAGTTCCATAATTAATCCCCTTTCAGACATTCCCTGGTGTGGCAGCAAGTGCCCTGACTTTGAGCCGAAAAACTACAGACCCAATGCTTAACTCCTAAGATCTCACCAAGGAAAGTCTGCATATGAGCAAGACATAGCCCTCATGTGGACTCTAGGCATCCAACAGTAATTATATGTCAATAAGCCACAATTTCAGGTTGTCTGAATAAGAAAAGGGGCTCTCAACTCAGAATGCCATTTCAGCCAAGCCTGAAAGAGTTCTCAGACTCTCCTCTCAAATCTGTTAGGACAGCAGTAGTCACTCTTCCCAGCTTAATCCTGGACACTGAGAGGTGTCGTTCACAGGGCAGAGTGGTGCACTAGAAAGCCATGCAAGTGTGAGGGAAGGTGGCAGCTCTGAACCAGCCTTCTGCTGTGTGCATTCACAGCTGCTGTCCCAGTGCAGATCACCTGCTCTTCTGTGTAACCCCAGCAAAGGGTTTGCACTTCTGCTGCTGAAAACGATTCGGTTGTACTTTGTCCAACCCTGCATTAGCCAGCACATCCCAGTCTTTCTCCTTGGCCTCAAAACCAATTACTTCTGCCTCCTGCACGCCCAGTTCTCTTTCACAAATCATACATCTCAGAATACAAGGAAAAGCATATGGATTTGCTCCAGACATACGCATACTCCTCCATTATGTTCTATGGAATGGACTTACTGTCTCATTCCGACCTTCAGAACAGCTATTTGTGGAAGTACCTGAAAAAGCCATGGCAGCCTAACAGATACACGTCCTTCACTTCCACTAAAACAAACAGAACTTGAGGACATTTGGCTCTTTCCAGATAAAGCCTTTAGAGCTGTAATCTAGACACTGTGTTGTAATTACCTGTTTTCAGATCCTATATGCTGAGACTACTCAGGCAATTCCTTCCATCTGAGTCAATGATCAGTGGGTAAACATTTCACATAAACACAGGGAACACCTTCCCTAACTGTCTGCATGCAGAGCCTTGGAGACTGCTTATAAAAATCAGTGATTTTTATTTGATTTATATTTGATTTATATTTGATTAAGAATGTGCCCTTTTGGTACCTTCAGGAAAACCTTCTGCTTTCCTAAATTAGTTTTACTAATACATCACAGAAGAGCAGGGAATGTTCCAGAAGTTCAGTGATATCAGTCATGGCTTAGGAGACAACACCTACTAGTTTCCAGTTTGTTGCCTTTCTGTAGTTCAGTTTCATACTGTTTAAGTTCAGTGCATAAAGCCCCTTTTCAGCACATCCTTGGTAGAGTCTAACAGAGTCTGAAGGATCTAAACCAATTACATTTAAACTGCATATCCAATCTGTAAACATGAGCATACTTGTCAAATTCCTTCCCCAATCCCCAATGTACTGTCTCTTCACTTTTCTCACTGATGCCTTGTATACTTACTTACTGATACCTCAAACAAAATAGAGACTAATACACCTAAATAAGGTTATTGAATTTGGTTTTAGTCCATTGGCTTCGAAGACACTGACTTTGTTTTTATTCTTTATCATAAAATTAAAAACCCAGACACAGCCAAATACCAAGCCCCTCAGACCTGCATGTCTAGCATTTTAAAGAGTCTTTAATCTGCTCTCTGTCCAGTTCAAACCTTCAAGGGCCTGGTAAAACACAACGAAGCCTGCAGTTGTGCTGGCTAAGGGAGAGAGAAGTGGAGAGGCCTCAGAAGGGATATGCTAGTTTTCTCCCTAAGAACAAGGCAGAGCCTTCAGCCAGGAGCTGAGAAGTGCCTTTGCTGATTATTGCCAGCATGGTCTCTGGTGAAAGGAACAGTGGGCCAGCAGCACAATGCGTAAGCTTTCAGGTATAGCTGGAAGTGTGGGTATCTGCATGGCTCTAGAACTGCCATTTTATTTGGAGATTAATGATTCCCACATCTTCTTTTCATTATCCTTGCAATGCAAAACAAGAAGTTTTATACAAATGAAAGAAGTATGGATGTAGCTTTCCTTAGAATGTATACTTACTTTAAACATTTCTGCAAGTGATGGGCTTAGTAAAGTCTTTTATTTAAAAGAATAATCAGGAAAATATGTTTCTAACTAATGAGTGAACAAGGGATACAGAATTTTCCAGTGCCATGTCATCTCCTCTTTGGTTGTGTATCTGCACTTTTAAGGCAATTAATCAGAGTGCTAGTGAGCCATCAGGGTAAAGATTCCAGAAAGCCAGAAACAGTATCACTGGATGATTCATCATCTTAAGTGAATTAACATATTTATGCTGCATGAAATACAGATAAGTAAAGCTCAAGAAAGAAAAACTGCAGTTTCTTGCTGAGTTACTCTGCTCTTAGTTTCAGTGTAGACTCTTCCTGAAAAAAATATCACTTGAGAGCGTTGTGTAGTTTCTGTAAGCATAGTCACCCTTCGGATCACAGTAACTTAGGAAGAACAACCATGGGAGTTACGCAATATGCTGTTAAAACATTTGAAATGACATGCATCTGTTGAGAGGGATGCTATTGCAGGCAGTGTGGATCAAATCATCCAGCTGGTTTTGAAGTAAGACACAAAACCAAAGTGTTTAGGTTGTATTTATTGTGGTTGACTGGTCAGCTGATCTTTGTTAATATCAAATAAATGAACTTGGAAAAAGAACACATTTCCAATGGTTAATGAAACTGAAATTTCTTTGATTTAGTTTTGTTGCTCAGAAAAAAACCTTGATAATAGCATTTCAAGAAATAGTACCAATTACCACAGTTTAAACACTTTGCTGTGATAGTTACCAGGCCTGTATAGCCCAGCTAATAATAATAATAATAATAATGCTGCAAACAGTGATGTATTGGTTATAGGGAAGTATTTTGTGGCTGATTATTTTGTGATTGACTGGCTCTCTCCTTCATACACCCTACCAAATCTCTTTTTATGACAGGAGCTGTACTCCAAGCTGCATTCACTTGGCAAGGTTGAGTCTGAAAGCCTGTTAACCCTGACCACCCAACTTGTCAAGGAAGAGCTGCCAGCATGTGAAGTGGAAGACATTGCCAAACATGAGCAGAAGCTAAAGGAGTGGGAAGAAGAGCAAGTGCTTCTCATTGAGAGAGAAAGAGAGTTGAGAGAAAAGGCTAAGCAGGAAATGGAAGCTAGGAAGCTAGCTAAAGCATCTGCTTAATACTGGAACTAGGAATGCAAAGGTCCTCTGTCTGTGAACATAAGTGCTCACTGTTATTAATATTTCACTTCAGTCATGCTGTGTGTGTGGCCATATGTACTGCTATATGCAAATTAAACATCACATTTTGTCTATTTCCCAAAATAAAGCACATGTGGTTTAGAAATGTTCATCCTGTATATGAGGTGTTTTCCTCCTCATCCAGGCAAGGGATGGGATTGAGACAACACAAAGAAACAAACTCATAAGGAGTAGCTTGCCTGTGATGAAGGGTCTAGGGAGTGGAAGGAACAAAAGAAGAGGGAAGACTTTTAAACAGGAGTTGTTTCAGTAGGGGTTTCTCACAGGAAAGAATGCCATTGCTACTCTGAACTTCGAACACTAAGAGGATTAACATATATTGATTGCTTTTTTTTCTTTTTCCCAACCCATTTGGAAAATTCAGGCTACTGTGCATGGAGCAGGAAGCCTAACTTTAGGCTGTTTTTAAAACTACTTTTGAAGAGCTTCAGCCTAGGGAGTTAGCACTTGTACAGCACTCAGATGTGCCTTTCCTGTAAGGATGTTAAAAATTTCTGACTTTGCTAGTGCTGCTTTGTGCCATTTCTAAGGTCACTACAGAAACATGCACAATCATCTCGGCATACACCAAGGAGCCTCATACTGCAGTGCAGTTTCCTTTTATATTCTGGGCACTGTTTCGTGAGGTTTTTGACCTAATTCCTTTCACAGTCCCATGCCTCATTGTTCAGATCCATAAAACAATGTAACTATTCACAAGAGCACAAGGCAAGGGAGGAAAGGATCATGGTGCGTTGGTTGTGATGCACCAGCATCCATCCCTGCTTACATTCCCTGTCACCACTGAATCTCGTCAACTGCAGCCAGCAACTTTTAGTGGAGCATGGCAGGACAAGGTCCTTCAAAATAGGGAGACCTGAGCAACAGCCCTGTCGTAATTGCAGCTTGTTATGGCAACAGGACTCTTGTCTCACTGTGCTTTATCAGAGAGTCCAAAAAGCATTTGCAGTTTTTGTTATTACATCTGTGTATTTTTACAGTGATAAAACTCAGTTCACAAACTCATTGTAGATCCAGCGAGAATATGCTGCAAATCCATGAATTTGTTTTAAGTGTAGGAAAGTATCACAGATACAGCACACACCAGAAATCTTTGCTACTCCCAGCAAAAACACTCAGAGCCTGCTTGCTCTTTCATGTCTAAGAACTTGGCAACTTGGCACTAAGGTTCACCCCATCTTGTCAGGAGGTCCCATAGTTTCTCCCATACTTCGGTAAGGGAGTGCTGTCTCCAACCAGAAAACGTGGGTGATTTAGTGGCTTGGCCAGCAGTGGTTTTCCCTGGCAACTTGAGAAAAGTCTCCTGAAATGTTTTCCTCTTGGTCTAAATGCTTTCTGATTACTAGGAGAAGTTAGGGAGCCTTAAGGGAGAGTAGAAGGCCAAACACACTCTAAGAACGATTTCCTTAAAGGTGGGTGGCTTTAAAGGGGTCATCACTCCTAGCTGAGCCACAGGAGAATGTAGTGTCCCTTCCCTGACCACATATTTCAATTCTTCCATTTCACAACATGGGTTATAGCTACAAAGGTTCACAATCACTTCTGCATCCAGATTCTTCTATGAGCTGCTGTCTACAGGCATCAGCTTTTGGGATATTCTCTACACCACCACAGTTTTAAGACTCTCCTTGCTGATATGACCTCCAGCCACAGAAGTACCTGATCATGTTGCTTGTCAGACACCATTCTGGCTAGGCGAGCACAGACAGGGGCATATATCTCCTTGCTTTTCCATGGCCTCTCTTTCTTGGCAGCGCGAGGAGCCTGTTTCTGGCCCAACCTCCACCTTCCCTGGCCTGCTGTTACATACGCCAGGCTGCTGCTAATGCTAATTAAGCTCCAGCAAGCTGCCAGCTGCCATGTCCCTGCTGTCTCACAGAGTACACTGCACTTCCCCCTCAACTAACCTCCCTTTCCATTTCTTTAGGCTTTAGAAGTATTGAAGCAATAGGAGTAAAAAAAAAAAAAAAAAAAAAAAAAAAAAAAAAAAAAAAAAAAAAAAAAAAAAAAAAAAAAAAAAAAAAAAAAAAAAACAAACAAAAAAACAAACCCCAAACAAACAAAAACAAACAAAAAAACAAAAACAAACAGAAAAAGCTCCTGTGAGCTCTGAGTGGCCTGTTAATGAATATTACAGCTTGCCTCCTTGTTTTACGTTCAGGCACTGTGGGTTGGAATGCTCTGAGCCCAGTTCAAAGCATAAACTTGAAACAGTATAGATACAGCTTTTCTCTGCCTTTTCCCCCATCTCCTCCCATATCCCCCTCTGCCCTCGGGAGGAGATTTCCTTGTCAAGTGCTTTGCAGGCTGCAAAGCATATTCCTGGGGCCAGGTGAAGGACACAGAACCCAAGACCTGAAGCATAGGGTCCAGACTGTTTGTGACTTAAGAAGCCAATTTTTTTTGCCAAGCCCTCTCATTTATCTCTTCCCCTTAATTTTACCCTGAGTGAGAAACTACTTCTGACAAGTCTACCAGCTAGATCAGCTCCACAGGAGTGCCCTTCTTCCCCTCATGCCCCAGCCAAGTATTTCTTCATGGTCCAGTAGCTACCATCTTGCTCTTCCCCACTCAGGTTTCATCATGGTCTCAACAGCAACCAGTTTCTAATGTTTTGTCTAGCC